GTTGTACGGTACGAGAGACCCTGGCGAGTTTGTTCTTTTGCCGTTTGCAGTAAGATAGCTAGGAAGATTCCTAACATCGCTAGTCCAACATGCTTGCGTATAGTTAACAGTACAAAGAATTAAAGGGCAATTAATAACGAACTTGGGCGGCATCGCTCCTCACTACTTTGGGCGCTTGTAGCGCAGGCGCCAGGCATTTTTGCTTCGAACAAGTATGATATTCGTAATCAGGGAGCCAGACTCTCCCTTTGAGCAAACTTCTAGCGAATTCTGAAATTTTGACCTAACCTCGAAAATTTGGGCAGTCACTTACTCACCGATCCACCAATCCATTACAAAAGGCTGGCACTTGGGTAGAATAAACCTTTTAAATAATAGACAAAAATTGTGTCTGGCTTGCCCGTCTGCATCATCCAAAGATCTGCAAAGCATTATTTCCTAATACAACACCTTCTCTCCCCTTCCCCCGTCGTCCATGATTGGTCAACCCAAAAAAGTGGAGTTTGAGGAGTGGTAATCCCATCACTGCTCCGCTTTTTCTCAATTAGTTCATGACCTCAGATTTGGCAAAAAACTCGTTTTTAGGGTAGTTTGATCCCCTGAATACGAATATCGTACCTACTTGCCACGGAAAAGCATAGCACCTGCACTACGGGCACCATGGGCACTCACAGACAAGTAGTGCTTAAACTTAAGAGGATCTGCTTGCAAACTCTTCGTAGATGTAGCGTCGGGCGACCGTTGATAAAATAACGGATTCAAAAAGGCTTTTCAGCCATGTTGGAAAAAAAGCAAAACACCAAACCCGTAAGGGACCGAACCCGCGACTACCGAAGCTCACCGCACCGGTGCCTCGGTTCTCCTTTCGATACTTTTATAATGCAGCTAACATGTGATTGCAGGCAAGACACTGAAAATCAAGGGCGGCAACAAAAACCCTCCGTAACTCCTTTCAGAGAAGAGTTCAGCAGATAATGAAAGCAGATTTGAGTTCAGCGTCTCATGCTGCGTACAGAAATGTGCACCTCATTTCATTTGGCCGGGTTGGCCTAATGACCTTTCCTGGTAAGATTATTAAAACCTTACCTATAGTTCACTTCATGCATGGACCTTACCAACCGCTCTTAAGCATTTTTATTGTTGTTATTTTCTTCAGAGTGCGATTTTAGTTTATCAAGCCGTCGTTAAATGGTTTTTTGTTTCCCTGTTGTTGAATGGTGTTGAGAAATACTAGCGTTCCTTGTGACACTGCTCTGATCTTTTAGATGTGCACTCCTGCTCTGCAGAACGATTTTAGCCACTATCGGCGTGGTATTGGGTTAGGACTACTCGACAACAGCGCCTCGTTAGTGTTTTTTTAACCTTCTTTTTTCATTTTTCACACCTTCTAAGTTTTCGTTCAGGGAGGTGGAGTTAGCTAATTCCATATCGCTATTTCTTGCCGCTCCTACTCCAATGCTGTCGAGTTTGAGCTCTGCAACACTGGAGTTTGTCCGATCTCATCCAACACTTCCAATCGGAAACACAACAGATACCCTTGCTACCATTGTTAGGTAATACATTCTATGGATGCTTGATATCCCTGTTGCCGTTACGCTTCTAGTTTTTGAGGAACTTCCTCTTTTTTGCATACTATGTAACCAGATGGTGTTGTTTCAGCGTGTGTCGGTATATGGTCGGGTCACCTGAGGTGGCTGAGCGTATAACGGAGGCAACACGATTGTTTTGCGTTCGAGTAATGGTTGGATGCCTCATTTTATACGATCACATTGACGAAAATGGAGCTTTTGTGAGAGAGTCACCCATCAATCTCCGAGCAGTCGTCAATGTTGTCAAGGAGCAAACACAACCCCCACAGGTTAGTTACCTTTATAGATGCTTTTCTGATTGAGGTTGCCATCTACTTTATTTCTTCTTAGACTGAAGCTCTGTTGAACGCACTACGCTATACTTCCAAGCATTTTACTCAAGCTTCAACTCCAAAATCTGTTCGAGCTATTCTCGCCTAACCGTACCGTTGCATCCCTTTCTTGTCATGATCGATGATTCTCATGCTCTTTGTACTGCGATCCAACCCTCTTTGCTTCATTCCAATTTTCTGCGAGATCGGTGCCAACTCTATACTGCTCACTGTGTGTAAACCCGTACCCGTGTACCTGGTAGTATTCTAGTCATCCATGTAGTCCATATGTCTAAGTCATAATATGTGTAACCAAAAATATAGATGTTGTGCTATGTATGCTATTCTTGCAAATTTAACAGAACTTACAAATTAATATTTATATAACAATAATGCTTTGAAAAGTGTTAATTTAATAAAGTTGCTACGTACAAGACAACCTTTGTCAAACAGCCTCCTTTAAAACCGTTTATGGTAAAAGGCAGTCAACATCAATGATAGAGATATAGGTTCTTAGATTAAGCACATCCTATAATAGAACAGAGCAGTTTGAAAAGCAATTTCATCATACGGTAATCATAAGCGCCAGGGAGAGGATACACGCACTTGGAAGGAATCAGTATGACTAAATCGTGTCATTCTCAGAATAGACATGCCAGTAAGAAAGTTGATCAGCGACAATGAAACATAACTTACTGAAGTTTGCTTAAGGGAATAATGAGAAATTCCTTTTCATAGTGTATATGTCGGTCAGATACTTTACAGCAACGTACACTTTTTCTTCTTTTCAATTGGTGGTGGTTCCAAAGCAGCCATTATTGCCTCGTCAAACACATTCTTCAGCCCTTTCTGGAATCAAAACATATGACAGCATTGAATGACTTCCTTGTTGTGATGACTGCACACATTTCTAGACAGCGAATCGTCGAATAAGTGCTGCGTCATGGCTTAAAGATTGTGAAGAAAGCATAATCACCACTGAAAACTCATCATCGCATTTTGGAGTTGTCCTTATTAATTCGAGCCCATAAACGTCATAATATCAACATGCTTCGAACCATGTCCAGGATTTCTCATAGGGAGCCTTAGTAGGAACAGTGGACTGTATTTGGGGATTTCTTAGGCTGGTGTCAGAGTCCGCGATCCGCTTTTCGCGATTTTCGCGAAACCTGCGATGGATCACAGGAGTTGGAAGTGCCCGATGAATACTGCGAGGTGTTGTTTAATCCTGCTGCGAATTCTGCTTGACAGTAAAGATTGAAAG